TAATAATATACATAAATTATGGGATAAACCAGATATTAATTATCTTTTACTGTTTCACAACATTAGACAACTATGAAAAGGGACTTCTAATTTGGCTTACTGTTAAATATTTTGTGTTTTAACAGAAAGCTGTCACTAAATAGGAGTATTCTAATATGAATAGCTCTTGCTGTTTTACAATGTTAGCCTACAATCAGCCTAGATAACTTTGAACTTTGATTATGTATACACAGAATCTGTTTAGATGATTCTGTGTTCTGCAACTGTAAATCAGCCAGAGCTAATTAATATTCACATTCCCGCACATTTATATATACATACTGTAGATATTTAAGAGATAGATTGTGAAAACTTGGGCAAAGAAGCTTACCTTGGGGGAGCTGTAGGACAGTCTGGGTGTATGGACCTCTGTCCACAACTCTGGTGACCCTGAGAGAAGCAAAAGAGTAACAGCTCTTAACACTGCACACAAACGGCACAGAAAAACATTACAAGACCCAAAGGCACTGCAGGAGCAAAGGTGACGCATTCTGCTCCCTTCCTTGACAGGAGAGACACAACCTCCAGTTTCGCTCACTGTCTGACACACAGCACAGAGCCAGTCACCTGGGAAGGTGACCACTGTATCATCCTGCTCGGCCAGCAACCTGACAGGGTGCCTGACAAAGTGGTGCCTAAGAACAGCCATCCTGCGTGCAGGGTCTTCTGTAATCTGGAGAGATCACACAGGGCAACATTTCAACACAGGGAAGTGAACAATATCGCCACAGAGACTTAAACCAACTAAGCAGCAAAATACTAGTGGAGAGGGATTATCCAAATATTAAATGCATACATTAAACAATTTAAGATTCTGTGTGCAGGTCTGTTTGTGTTTAGAAACTGCGTAGTGCAGTCAAAACAATCACTTCCTTAAAGAAATAAATGTTCTACATGCTTGGAATTAGTTATGAATTAGCTTTTTCATGGAGATAATGTATGAATGAGCTCTTTCACGAGCTCAACAAATGTCAGGTTGGTGCTGAATCTAATTAACTGTCTTGTTGTCGTACATGAAGATCTTCCCCCAGAGGTGCAGTACCCACCTGTCGGGTGTCAGGGTCAATGAGGTCAAAGAATGCCCTGACGGTGGCCAAAACCAGCTCCTTACACCTGGAAGAACACAGACACATAACACCCAGTCCAACAAACGCACCGATGACCAGTCACAGTTCCAGGGCCGCTAAAAAGTTCTGAGTTCTAATGAAATTCTACTGAAAACCGATCCACTTACATTTCAGCAAGTTATCTATGCATGCATGATGAATAATTGCTCAGGTCAGTTAGGCTCCCAGAAGATGTGAGTGTTTCACTTGTAAAGCTTTTTTTCAAAAAATGAAAGAATACAACATGAAGTTTACAAACAAGATGAGGCTGTTCTGGTATTTTAAAAGACATACAAAATAAGATTTAAATGCTCCTTTGTATGGGTGGCACAGTGGCACATTGGACAGCACTGCTGCCTCGCTGTGCTGGGGCACTGGGCTCAGTTCTGGGCCTGGGGTGTTATCTGTGTGGAGTTTGTGTGTTTTCACCAAGTGCTTCATTTTCCTCCCTGTCCAGAGACATGCTGGTAGATTAACTGGCTTCTGGGAAAACTGTCCCTGCCGTGACTGTGTATCCCATGAAATGGACTGGCATCCCTTCCATGCTGTATCCTGTCTATGCCTGTTACTTGCCAGGACAGGCTTCAGCTCCCCCCTGACCCTGTACTGGATAAAGCAATGAGAAAATGGATGGATGTTCCTTTGTAGACAATTAGTGCATGGTGACGTGCATGACGCCCTAGTCTATTTAGGACCTGAAATATGTGAGTGTTTTAAAAATGAAGTAAAGAAGTATCATAGATTAGGAAATAGATGGTTAAGTACTAGTTGGATTAAAAATCATAAAGTGATCCCTAGGCCTGGAGTCAGGAAACACTTTACATCTTAGTATGAAATAATCTTGAATGTGATGTGCTTTTCCAGGTCTGACACAACTCCTACTTTTAACTGACCAATAATATTAGATGAATTCTGGCCCTAAACGACCACCATTATCAAGACAATTGATCCCCACAGTCACTGAACCACAGGCAAATATAAGGGCTATTCTGGAAAGTACTGCAGGAAACATCACCCTCTTGAGGATATTTTTTGCTGCTCCAGCACTGCTTAGGGCTAATACTAGCATTCACCTGAAAATCAAAGTAAATTTGGTTCCTTAGGTAGACAGTTCACTTTACAACTGTAAAGTGAAAACTACATTCCCATGTGAATTTTAAACAGAGTTGGGCATTATTCCTATGCTTCACTGTCATGGCAACCTTTATTGAAGATGAGAGAGCTACTTATTACTGCTAAAAAGCACAGCAAACCAGAGCCAAACAATTGCATTGAGCACAGAGTGACAATTTAGAGATATCAATAAACCTAGTCATTTGGTACTGTCAGAAGAATTAACTGTTTCAGTTCCAAAAAGACAAGTTCAACCATGGAGATCCTAACAAATACACGAAAGCTTTATTATAATAATTATAATAT